CCAAAACCTTGGCAGCACCCATGTGTGCAGCTGAGACAGTTTAGCTGTTTTACATCAAAGCGTCCACAGAGGAGACCACAGTGAGACACCAGAGGACATCAGGACTGTCCTTTAGTCTTGTGGAGTCCTTTCACTCTGTCGTAGCTGCTGCTGTTATGTTATTTGGACCGCTGCACACGGACTTTGTACTCCTGGATACTGTCCTGAGTTTCAGAATACTTTGGAGGAACTGCAAGTATCGTCTACTTTGTTTTGGGGCTTGAAGGCAACTTTCCAAGAAAACACTGAAGAATCTGATTGGGCCGTGTCCGGCTTTTACTAAATTACTATGAGAGATTTCACTTCCTGTCAGCACAGGATTTGATTTTGCCAATGGCTCACAAAATCAACAAAGTTGAGGTTGACTATTTACTTTCCCTTTTTGAGATACATGTAACTGTAGGACTTGTGGTGTTGCATTAGAGGCCCAGCAGCCTGTTTTTCAGGGTTCTATGTCAGATGGTCACTATGTGAAACTGAAGTTCAGTGTTGAAAGTACAAAGACTTCATTATCGAACTATATTGTTGTTTATTGCTGTACTGCGTTTGATTGTGTTTCGCGTTAATATTGTAGGTAGTTTTAGTTCGACTTTAGTGTAGTTTGATGTTAATAATACTCATACTGTAAATAAGGTTAAATCTTGGATTATAATAATTATCAATTAAATAAATATATATGCTTAACACACACTTTTAAAAAATAAATTTTTTTCTGCCCGGACAGATTTGAAGTACGTCATCTGTAATATTTATGGACATTTTGGCTTTTCACAGAATATTTTCTGTAACAGACATTTTCTTTGTAATCCTCACAATCAATTTCTGTCTTCTTTCAGACCACACTTCAGGACTTGGTTAAGTCATTCACAAGTGTCTTGGCGGTTGTTCTGGGATCATTAGACACATTTCTAACTAGTTTTATTAAAGAGGCTCAGCAGAGGATATAATTCCTCCATCAGCTCAGGAAGAACAGATCGTAATAGACAGTGAAGCCTGCAGAAAACTTGGTGTTGTAGTTTGGGACTATATAAATAAAAACAAATGTAATGAATGAGAAAGAAACATCACTGTTTCTCGCACCCTAAACACAATCTGTTCCTCCCCTGTGGTAGGCACTACACAGCACTGCACCCCACAGGTGGAAACCCTCTGAACACTTAAGTTTCTACATAAAAGACTCGTCACACCTGCTGCTGAATCAAAGAGTCCTTTTTGTTTTTGTCTGTCTGTTGCTATTGTCTGCATTGTGTGTGTCTAATCTGCCACATACACTGAAATCAAAGAAATACCCAAATACTCGGTCTGCGTACTTGGACAGTGAAGCTGATTCTGATTGTCTTCCAGTCTCTAATCTATTGTTTGCTACGTCGACCTGAGTTGTTTTGTACTGAGTGGCTCTGAATTTCTCATCCCAGGACTTGAAAACGGGAAAAACAGGCTATAAGTTGGATATGACTTTTGGTTTCTCAGCATCAGAAATTACTTTTCTCATGTTTAACCTGATTTCTTCTGTTTTTGGCATCATTCTCCCTCAAGTGACGGCTCAGACCTGATGTTTTTATACTGTATGTAAATTAAAAGCTAACCCTCAGCTTTAACTTGAAAGTTTGAACAGCACATCATGGTTGACTCTGTGACTAAATCAAAGAGTCGTTTTTTCACAGGGTCATGATATTGATGATTGAAATTTATGATTTTTGCTGAAATAATTTTGTTATTTGTAAAAACAATTTCCAAAGAAAAATGTTTAGAAATACTGTGATGAAAAATCTCTTGCTCTGTTAAAAAAAGGACCTTCATACTGTGAGGCAACAGTGTTAACACCAGCACATTGTTGCTTCACAGCAAGAAGGTCCCTGGTTCGAATCCACCAGGGCCGGGCCCTTTCTGTGTGGAGCTTGTGTCTGTGTGGGCTCTCTCTGACTTCCCCACAGTCCACAGACATGCAACCTCCACACAGACGGGGCCACAGCCAACCAGAGGATTGAAACTGGGAATCTTCTCTGTGTGAGAAAAGACTGCTTAACAGTGCAGCACTGAGCAGGTGGTAGAGTTCGAGGAAGCTATGAATACTTTTATATCTGTGTGCTAATGTTGACCTATAATTCATACATGAGATTGTTTGCATTTTATCATCTGTCACATTGTGATATGATCAGATATAAAAATGTGCTATACTACTACTTTAAATGTACGTTTCTCATTCAAACGCACAGGCTTTTATGATTTTCTTCTGACCTGTTCTCCCCAGCAGCGAGCCCCAGCTGTGGCCGGTGGGCATGGTTTTGGAGGGTAGCTCAGAGGCGTTGTGTCCCCCCCCATCTCTGGAGCTGCGCCCATCCTGCAACAAGAGCCAGCCCTCGCCTCCTTTGGGCTCAAGCTCACAACCCCACGATGGAGTCTTTCCTGAGGACAAGGAGCCTGTAAAGTATGGGGAGCTCGTCGTATTGGGGTATGATATTAAAGTACTGTGTGCTCTGATGTACTTCTGATGTTAACTTCATGAAGCTGCCTCATTATACAGGTGTGTTCATTCATATTTGGAATTCTTAGTCTTCCTTAGCTCCAAGTCCCTAAAGTTGGACTTCCAGTTTAGGAAGTTGGCACATCCCCACCAACCCCGCCTTATCAAACCAAGATTGTAATAATGCACATAAACATCAGGGAAAGTATCAACTTGTAATCTGTACTGCCACTATTATGTATCTGTGACTTGAGCTATATGCAGAACATTGAACATGCTCTGTCTGTACACTGCGTACAGTGCACGGTGTTGCTAGTAATGCATGAATGGCTCAACCCTCTGCCAAGGAGCAAAACAAATTCTCTTTGTTTGCTTTTCCAACTTTACTACTGAACAAATGTTTAAGCTGGGAATGATGTCACTCCCAGCTAGGGCTGTTTGATATAACGATATATATATTGGATGACGATATAAAAACGTCTATCGTTTCATTTCACGCTATCGTTTGTTTCGTGGTGTCGCAAAATAAACTGTTTACGGCAATATTTTTTCATCATTTTGATGGTCACTGTAGAGGCTATATTAATTTCTTTAAGTTCTCTCTTTCTCTTATATTTAATATAACCACACTACGGACAAGAGCCTGTGTTTATGCGTTGTGGTTAGCAACATCGGGATATGAGATTTTGGTCATATCGCACAGCCCTACTCCCAGCTCTGATATTTGACCTTTGAGTGTCAAAAGTCCCACATTAAATGGAAAGCAGCACATGGTAAGAGCATCTCCACTGAGCTAATCAGGATAACTCAAAGCAGCGTACAGATTTCTGCTAAACCAAAGCAAAGGCGTTTTAGCCATGAGATGCATTTGATAGACAGATGAAAATTAGAAACAGTAGGTCAGTCTAGGTCACATGCATGTATGGAGAAATGATGATTCAGAGAACAGGCTAATAACAGTCAAGCCCCAGATTTTCATTTGGCGTCGAGGTCAAGCATATATTCTTGTCTGCTTCTGAGCCTCTTTCAGTGTGGGTTTGATTTTGAGATTGAAAGTCCAGTTATGACCAGTTGCACTTGCACATCTGGAGTTTCACTAGGAAGCTACCTTTGTAAAGAGCATAAACCTGCTAACTTGTCTTAAAACTGATTTGACGACTAGTTTTCAACCACTCGAGGTTTTGCAGACATGTAACCAACAGCCATGTGACGTTAACTTGTCTATTTTGGACATGTGACAGTCATTGTGACAACACAGGGTCAAATAAATAAGTCAAACATTCTTAGACAATCGTCTGTGATCATTTGGCAACAACCAGTCTTCAGCGACCCATAATTTCTCTATATTAAGTTCTTCTTTTTTAAGTGCTCTGCAGGCTTTATGAAGCTATTTCAAAGTTGTTATTTGAACACTGGCTGCTTTTCAAATCATTTTGAGTCTTGTCTTTGTACTTTAGATTGGAAAGTTATTTCAAGCTAAATTAAAGTGTATTGGTGTATTACCAGTTTTAACTTGGTAGATGTGCATGGGTGTATCACTCCTATCAGCTGTTTGGGTTGCATTTTGTGGGGGCTGGGCAGGCTCTTTGGAGTTATCAAACAACCTGACGCACCACTAATGTTTTTGTCACTTTTTACAGAATCAAACTCAAAGTAATGTGAGTACTTCCCAGCTTTAAACACTGAATGGTCGTACTCTATCCTGCACTCCATGTTATCCATTGTTGATCTGCACATGTCTGTTGCTGCCACGGACGTCGCACGCTCGTACGTCACTGTCATGAGACACTCTCACAAACAAAATCACAGTTTAGTAACACAGTAA